GGTAAAAAAATGAAGGTATGCAAAACTGTAAATCGACTTATGTAAAAAATTGTTTTTGTGTTGTGATAAAATGATACAGGTGTATATTTAATTGCAACACAAGGTATCACAATGCCACAGTTAATTTTTTTTTTAGAGAAATAAATAAAAAAGATCATGCACTGCAACTATAAGCTTATAGTAGAACTGTAAATGCCAGGTCCGTACGGCATACTGAGCTGGCCAGCTGAAAGCACTTTTGTAGGTCCGTATGCCGTACATCCTTGGCAGCGAAAGGGTTAAAGGAGAACTATGAGGTGAGTGATTTTCACTCAACTTCATAGTTCGAGCCGACGTGTGACAATGAAACTGTCACATGTCGACTCAATAGATTGGGAAGTGAGCGAACACATAACGTCACTTGCTCACTTCTCGATCCTGTCCCTGCAGAGAGCCGTAACTGTTACTCACTTCTCCCTGCAAGGATTCACCCCCTCCCTGCTCCGATCCTACAGCGTTGACTGGAGGAACAAATGGGGGAGGGGCCGGGTATATCTGGCAAGGCCTCTAGATATCAATCACGCAGCTGGGTGGATCTCAACAGTAATGATGGGATCTGTCCCGGCTGCGGCGGTATCAGTATACCGTGAGCTGTAGCTCGCGGTATACTGAGCTTTGGGTCACGGGAGGACTCTAGTTTATGTCCTCCCGTGACCCTTAGGAGAACTATGGGAAAAAACACTGACCCCATAGTTCTCCTTTTTAAATTGTGACAAGTGATAACATGGGAAAAGTTCATTCAGTTCTATGGGCATATCGGGGTTGCGAGGCAGTTGAAAAAAGGCATGCCTTACATTTTTTTTGAGGGTACACCACTGTGTTCCTACTGTAATGTGGTGGTTTGAATGGGCAATTGTCTTGTATTGGGGCTGTGCTGGAAACAAGGGCCAGTGCAGCTCGATTGCAGACAGTGTGAATAGACCTTTAATCGATTTGACTTTCCACCCATGTTTCTTTTTCTGTGTATGTGAGAATAAAGGATAAAGGATAGCTTTCTTTTATCAGCCACTCTACCAGTTTCCCTATGGGGAATTTTGTTGCTTGTTAATTAACCTGTACAGCTTACCACAGATATTCAGATTTTCCATCAGTTTTTGTCATTCAAGAAATTCACACATGGCTGTCCTGAAGCAAATGCTTTTAACAGTGGGACCCAGACCTGTCTTTTATAAAGTACCATCTTATTAATTTTACATGCTTCAAACCAATTAACATATAAATCCGTGAGCATTGTAAGAAAGCATCTTGTTTGATGTGTTGGTAAAATCTTGATGACATGTGAGCACTTCCGTCTGCTTCCCAGCACCTTTTTTTCCATGTTCTCTGTGCCTCCAACGTGAGACTAGCGCAATAGTTTTACGAGTATGTTTGGCTGGCTGCCCTGCTCAGCATGGTATTTGCTTGCATCCTCGCATAACCCCTCCTCTGCAGGAAAAGCCATGCTGGAGATTTCCTGAGAGTAATTAATGCTTCATTAAAGATGCTTAGTGGATTTTTCTATAGTTACACTGTTAGTGGGACAGACACAAGCCTTTTATCATTGGCAGGTAAGTGGTTTTCATGTGGGCATTTCATGGTTGTACTCTGTAGATTTGTTTTTGCCATAGTATCAATGAATAGAAACGGTTGTGTTTTTCTGCAGTATTCTGAATATAACTGGCATTGTTACACTTTTTATAGCTCTATTTATCTGTCCCGTGCCCATCCACAAAAATATCTGTACAATTCCAAAGTAGGTATAGAGGCACTCATGGGTCTTGCAGCAGTGATGAGTCAAAGTGTCTGTCTGACAATAAAAGTGCTGATGGTTAGACTTCTCTCCGCTGCAAGACCAGTGAGTGCCTCTATACCTACTTTGGGTTTATTAAAAAAAAAAATATGTATGTATGTATGTATGTATGTATGTATGTATGAGAGAGAGAGAGAGAGATTTTTAAAATAAACTAATCAGGAGTTTTGATTACCTGCATATTAATGAGTCAATTCTTGCTTCTGCTCTCTTTATTAGCCTTTCTACATTTTTATTAAACTTGGGGGCCTGTTTAAAAAGTGTTTTGTTTTTTTTACAAAATGAACACAACTTTTCAGTCCAAAATGTATACCTTTTTCTAATTGAATTCAAATGGAACAATGTGTGAATCTTGTGTGAAAAAAGTTTATAACTAGACCCCTGTAGAATTCACGCACTGGGTCTCGACAAAATATATCTGCACTATTTTTGTTACCTGAGCACACCACAACGCATTCTATGCAATGTGATTTGCAAAAAGACCAGGTCTACTGGTATATGTGTTTTGGAGTGCCATTTAAAATGAAAGGCATGGCTTTGGAATGTGACGGTGTTCTACATAGCCCAGAAATGCCATGAGCACTAACAGTAGAACCAGCGTTACTCAGTCATCCTTTATTGATAAACCTAATTAGTAATTATTAATTTTTTTTTTTCCTCATATACTTGTATTCTGGAATCAGAAGAGTACATTAGTGTGGATTCAGATTCTTTAGAAAACACTTTATACAAAGTAAAATCAAAGCGATTACAAATGATTTATGTCCTATCATAAAATATTTGCATCACTTAACATCATATAATAAAAAATATATGTAAATTGTAAACAATTCCTGCCTAGTAACGTATTGCTAAATGCTGGCCTTCGGTTAGGTTCCCATGGGCAGTTTTGTTCTGGAATCTGGATGTCTCTTATATTAGATGCATTTAAGCTAGAAAAACACAATGAAATCAAGCAGTTTGACAGCTCCTGGTGTGCTTGCAAATGAAACATGTACTTTTTCATGCTCTGTTTGGCACCTTCTCCCTTGTAGACATATAAGAATACCTTTTTTATATTCTGATTGATGAGCTTTGAAAAAGTCAGCAGCAAGGTGTAAGGGCAACCACACAGCAGTTTACATTTACAGTACGTACAAATTCTTAATTGCTGGCACAATATCAACAGCATTTGTTTGGCAAAGTTTATTGTCAATGTTAAGCAAAAGTACATTGATGAATCTCCTGACATGGACCACAGTAAGTGGATTTTCTATCTAGTAAATTATTAATATTGTTGTTCCTATACTGGATTGTTTGAAGCAATTAGCAAATCAGAGCATGATAAAGCAGTATATTTAGAGGAGGTTGTTGACCAATCCGAGCATGGGAAAGCTGTGTTTTTTTCTTTTTAACTTTTAGTTTGGAAAACATTAAAGGAGAACTATGAGGTGAGCATACTGAGCCTAGGGTGGCGGAAGGACGCTAGTTTGTGTCCTCCTGTTACCCTAAGGAGAACTATGGGGAAAAGCCTTAACCCCATAGTTCTCCTTTTTAAGAGCAAGATGTAGAGAAAATTGTTAAAACAATGAACAACGCCTTATTTTTGGTGTCGAAGGGCTTTTGTTTAAGTCAGTGGTAGCCCTAAACGTGCGGAAAGCATCAACAAATCGCACTATTTGGACTATTTTTGGCATGTGGTTTCACACTGCACTGCCGCCGCAAATGTCTGAACAATGCACATTTTAAAGTGCATTATTTTTTTTCTGTTTTAGAGCGGCTCTGCGCATCTACGTGAGGACAACCGCGCCAGTGTGAATGGCGCCCGATGGGTATCTTCTAATAAATGTAAGCACTTTTTGTGACGTTAAATACATTGTTAGGAGTTATGAAACATGTATAAAGTTTTTAGTTCTTGGAGTTCGATTTTAGGTCAGCATAGGTCAATATCTCCTAGTCTGTCACATGCGTATTCATCAACTTCTCTCTGGACTATTTATGACTTGACCATTTACCACAGGTCCTCAATAGTCTTTTGAAGATCCTGCTGAGTAAGATTTATGATGCTTCTGCATTACTGTGTAATCTTGTCAAAACATTGTCAAAGCTGGCTTAAACATGGCTGCTTAGGAGTAAACATGAGATTTAAATATGACCGGCTTGTGAATTTTGTAGAAAATGTGGGTGGCACAGTGCCCAGTACCATCACATTCAGATCAACTTTCCCCATAAAAGTACTCTGAAAAAGATTGATGTGGCTTAGAAAGTATTTTAGGTTTTACCACGTTACTGCAACACAGTGTAGTGCCATTCATTTTAAATGGTACCCAAATGGGTACCCTTCTTCTTCTTCTTCCCCATACAGTGGTATGGCCCACTGCAACCTTTTGTGTGATCCAGTGTGCTGCCAAAGAATGCAGCATGTTTGCATTTTATCACAGTGCACCGCTCACAGTGTTGTGGTGTGAATGAGACACACAAAAAGCTATCATTTCCTAACAGTGATCTACGTTAATCCAGTGTGGCACAGCGCAGGTCACACTGCACGATGTGTGAACAGGCCCTATGAAGACAATAGCCATGCGTATTCTCTGAGTGGTGGACAGTGCATACAATCTGCTACATTACTAGCATAGGCAATGGGAACTACTAATAATTCCATGGAAAATCACTCAATTGATCATTTTGTGTTTTTAAAGCTCCATTAAAATGTTACGGTTGCACAGGTCTTGTATGAAGCATTGACTCTTTGTTGTCACAGAAGAAAAGTCTTATCTATGATCAGCCTTAGGGAATCTAATAAACCCATCTAGAATTTGTAAAATTTCAAAGCAGTGATGGATTTGACACACAGCGATGTCCACTAGCGATGACTGTTCCTCTAGGTCTAAACATATTGATCCTGCGCTCAAGGAAGTGAAGTGCTGCACTGTGTACATCAGCTTTGGGGTGGTTTTTGTTTTTGTTTTTTAGAACTGAATTCATATTTGCCTTTTGCTTCCTTCTTGTACAACGTCACAATATGCATTTTCTCCAGTATCTTCTGTATTGTTTAATATATGTATTTTTCCTTTTTAGTCTTTTTTTTGTGCAGAATATGTTGGTGCTATATAAAAAATTGCATCAATTCCTATAATAGTGAATGCATTGTCCTGATATTTCATGCTATTCTTTTTTTCTTTGTTCAGGGGGCATAAAGAAAAGAGAAAGTGACTATACTGCTGTCAAAGGAAAAAAAATGATGCCGCAGTATTGGCGCCCATGCTCTGGATAAAAACCTGAACAGTTCTGGTCCATATTATCTAAGGTTTGTAATGTCCTTGTTTGTTTATACTCCTTCTATCCTGCTGTCCTGTCCTTGTACTTACGGTAAATTTCAGAAAGCTTCTGTGATACCTGATACTGGGAATATATGAACTGCCTGATTAATAATGCATGTGCTTTGTTATTGCAGAATATCAGTCTTTGGAAAATATATACTGCATACTTCTTGTTTCCTTTCAAATATATGTGTGTGTGTATATAGATCTTCGGGAATGTTTTGTAATTGTGCGTTCAGAATATATTGGCTCATACTAGAAATTCAAAATACTATACAGGTTTTATTAAGGTAATGATAATGTAATTATATTTTTGTAAGCGATAGTACCAATCTACATGGGTGATTGTAAATCCATATCCTTGCTGTGCAGAAGATATATTATACAATGAGCAACAGCTTAAACGGCAAGCGCATGGAAATCTAACAATTCCACATGTATTCATGAAATACTTGAATAGAAAAAAACAGGATAAAATATGTCTGAAATAAGAAATGTGGGTATAGGGTACTTTTTTATTTTTATTTTTTTTAATTTTATTGGTGATACAACTGATAGGTGACACAAGCCGTTTCTTTGCATTTGGCCCAAAATCCATTCCAGCCAGTGAGGCTGCTAAAACAGTCTGTCTGCGCTGAGCTTGTATAGTTATTATGCAAATATCGACTTTTCCTGGAAAGTCAGCAGTTATGTTTAGCAGAAACAACTACGCTAACATATATTGATGAGTCCCTCCTACTTGTGTGATTCATTGAGAAGGTGGCATGTATACATACAGTAATTTTGCTCGTGATTTCATGCGTGCCTTCTCCTTCTTTATTGCCTTCGCTTTGAATTATAGCTTTCTCACTTCCGAGATCTGTGTGTGTGTGTGTGTATATGCGTTCCATTGGGGAGATTGCCCTTCACTTCCTGTCCAATTGCCTCAACAGGAAGTGAGAGTAAATCTCTCCAAGGTGAGGGAAATCCCTGATGGTCAGCAGAGGCATGTTCAGTTCCTTAGCCAAACGCTGAGTAGCTGTTAAGAAGCACTTCAGTTCACTGCAGCAGCTGCATAGTGCTAAGCAAAATGGCAGAGGATGATAATTTTGGACTAATCAATATCATTTTCCAACAAATATATTTGGTGTGTTCGTCCACCAAAACATTAAATTGTAGGTTCCCACATTGAATTAATTTCCTCCATCAGGGTTCAGGCACCTTTCTCCAGTGCTGCCAGTTGTGCCCACAGTCAAAATGGCCACTGGTGCTCTGTCCCCACCTTCTCCATCACACTCCGCACTCTGCAGCCACATTCACTTCCGCTGTTAGTGCGAAGTTGCAGCACAGTGTTCAGCAGCGGTTTGCTAACTCAGCACTTGCAGTGGCTGAGCAACTGAACACGCCTCTGGGTCATCAGAACAAGTATAATCATTGGAAAATTTCCCATCCATTCCTGTTCTGATGATGACCCAAAATGTGGGATTTGCTTTCACTTTCTTTTTCACCAAGACAAATGGAGGGTGTGAGTCTCCCTAATGGGGCACAGAAAGCAATAAAAATCGGACAGGTCTTCCAATCTCTTTCCACTCGATCCAAAACGAAAAAAAAAGTTTTGGCTTCAGTTGCATTTTAAGTATTTCTTACCATGATGCGAGAAACATTGCAGCTGCCCAAGTGGAGGCAGTGGTCTCTATAGGCACCGTGTAGGGATTTATTGTAATGGTATGCCAGGGCTGAACAAATCCCAGGAGCCAGGTAGCCAATGCTCCTTAAGACCCCGTTCACACCTTTCCGTTTTGTCGGGCGTTCAACGCTCTATGAACGCTCTACAAAACGTACAACCATGAAAATCCCATTGTTTTCTATGGTTCACACCTTTCCGTATTTCCGCCCGTCTGAACGCCCTACAAAACGGCTGATGCCCAAACAAGTACATGTACTTCTTTGGGCCGTTTTGGAGGGCGTTTTCCATTGGGATACAGCCAAGTAGCCTTCGGAATCGCGCGACGGTCGCGCAATTTTTTTACCGCGAATCGCGACGGTCGCGAATACGTAATACGCCTAGGTGTGAACCCAGCCTTAAGGAGAACTATGGGGGTCAGTGTTTTTCCCCATAGTTCTCCTTAGGGTAACGCGAGGACACAAACTAGCGTCCTCCCGCTACAGCTCGCGGTATACTGAGACGCCGGAGCGGATCCCGACTTAGACGTTGAGATCCGCCCAGCTGCGTGAGTGACAGCTGGCTCTGCCTATCTAGAGGCAGAGCCAGCTGCCCCCTCCCCCGTCCGTTCAGCCAGTCAGCGCTGGCAGATCGGAGCGGGAAAAGGGGAATCCAGCCCCTCCCCCTGTCACGGCAGAGAGCCGTGACGGGATCGAGAGGTGAGTGAACCCGGTATGTGTTCGCTCACCTCCCGATCTACTGAGCCGACCTGTGACAGTCTCATTGTCACAGGTCGGCTAGAACTATGAGGTGAGTGGAAATCACTCATCTCATAGTTCTCCTTTAAATATTACAGCTGGCGCCTAACATTTGAGGTTTTCTTTAGTTGTCAATGGAGCAGGGTTCTAAAAAAATGCTGGCTCCTGGATTGAACAGACTGGCTCCTGAATTCCATATTAATAAGTCCACCCCTGTGCTATGCACACAGGTCGATTAAGCTGCTTTTATGGAAGTTCTTTGAATTGTGCTGCTAAGGTCTCCTTCAAAACTTAAGGCAAATATCAAAACATTTGTATCACCCGCATATTAGATCTACTTGAGTTATGTTATTTGTAAAATATGTTTAGCCCCTTTTTTTATACTTCTATCTTCAGATTTGTTTTACCTTCTTTTGTGACGCAGGCTGGGCAGCGGATCTTTTACTGGAACTGGAATTGCAGCTTTATAATAATATATAATAACAGTCGTCCTGTCTAATGATTATTTTCTGTTTTTTGCTTGTTTTTGGTTTTTTTATTTTTTGCTTTTATTGATAAACTGCAAAACGTTTTGTATTCTCCTTTTAAAAGATGTTAATGGCAGTAATGATTTTAGCTGCATGTGCATCTATTAGCTTGCATGCATATACTCCACCAGGGTTAGTTTTGACCTCCCTATAACCCAAGCACTAATGACATGGTCAATATGCACAAGGAAAAACAATGTTTTTTTGCTCTTCAAGTAGTGCACGGATTTGTCTGCCATTGTATTGTATTTTCTCTATGCAAGAACCATAAATCTTTTTTGAAATGTCCTTGACTTCTCCTTGCAATCCATTGTACTGGAAGTCCCCTTCAAGCAATACTGTTAAGTGAAGGAAATTATGATGCCAATGAATGGTGTGTGCTTCAAGGTTCTGTAGAATGGAACACAATTAGGCTCACTTTACCGAATCACCTACCCCTCCCAGATTTGTAGAGGAGCATCATCTAGCTCTTGTTCCTCCCTGCCAGGTTGTTTAAAACAAGAGCTGATATTGTGGTCAAAGGTGTAAATGTTTTTGTGCATTCAGGGAAAGGATTGGCTATTTCAGAGCTTATTCCCTTATGCGTTTATCTTTGCAGATGTAATGACTGCTCTCTCTAGGGACTTCTAGTAGGGCGGTGTGAAGAAACCATGCCAACTACCAGACACAGTCTCTAGGATAGATGTGTATGTTGGAGCTGGATGAAAACATCCCTATTGTAATTTCTGAGAGGATATTGTAGTGGCACATGTAGACGGAAGAACATGAATTTAAAACTGTTCTGCATTTGCTGATGATGTGTCTACAGCTTTTCCCCTATATCGACATGGTTGTTATTAGGAATGCACCAAAATTAAATATTTAGACCGAACTAAAAAAATTTGTCAAACCGAAACCGACTTTTTTTTTCCTCAACCTCTTTAATTATTTTTTTTTTTATTTGTTTTAACTTTATTTTGTGTTATTTTTACTGTTGGAGGCTTTGGGGAAATAGCAGGGGTCTAAACAGACCCCTGATATTTTCCCTTCTTAAAATAGAAAACAAGATTGAGGACACAGAGTCATAATTATTTTTTTTCTGCAGCCCCTGTTATGAATGAACAGGAACCTCTATCCTGAGTGCTCCTGTCCATTCTTAAACAGTGGAAATAGCATCAGTTACTATGTACACAATCATGAATAAACAGGAAGTGATGTAGAGCATTTCTTGTTCGTTCGTAACTGGGGATACAGTAAGCATACTATGTCCTCAGTTATATGCAAACACTCAGCGATCATTTGCGATTGCTGAGCGCTTGTAACCCGCTTGCTAGTCTACCTGCTCCGCCTGTCACAGGATGCCGAGCGGGGAAGTGCGAGAGCAGAACTCAGCCTCCTGTGACAACTGAAGGCTCTCTCCGCCTCCCAACGCCCCACTCGGCTTACTGACTGCTGTCTCCTCTCTACACTGCCCTGCTGGACATCCTGAAAGCTTCTCTCCTCCCCACTGGGCGCTGGCTGCTGAATCCTCTGTGTTCCCTTGGATCCCCACTGCCTCCGCCTCCACAGGCAGGGGAGAGCAGCAAGCATCGTAGTGGACACAGACTGGTGTACAGTGGGGAGGACAGGAGCTGCACTGAATTTTCGGCCTCATTTTCGGCCGTTATTTTCGGCCGTTATGGTACTATCGGCCTTAGTACCATTTTTGGCAGAAATTTTGGTGCATCCCTAGTTGTTACCTGTTTGTTAATGCTAAATAGGAGTCCAGATAGTCCATGTATGGCAATTCCTACCTGAGGCCCTGTGATTGCAGAAATGCCCTAAGATGCTAGAGGACATTTTGCTGGCATAAAGAATCTTTTCTTTCTTTGCGTGTAATGAGCTGCTCGTAGGTTTAGAGTATGGCTAGTTTAAAGAACAATTCAAACATCCTCAGGGCACACCGTAATCAGAATTTAGCTGAACACTCAAAATTGAATAATCTAGGCCAGGGGTATTGAGTTAACAATCATGGAGGTCAGGTGACATTTTTTTTTTTTTTTAGCAGAAATTCAGATGGTGGTCTTGACAGAACAGTCACT